GATGCAACCATAAAATGAAGAGTATGGTTATCAAAGAAGATAGTATATCAGAAAATGAGTTTATCCAGCTACAATAGGGACCGTGCGGCTGGAACCTTGTACAACACCTAGTGAAGGTCCTATTCTCTCCTCAGAATCCTCTCTTTCTTTTACGATAAATGTTATTTTAAGACCTAAACATCACAAAGCCTCTAGCTTGTTAGATTTAGGAGTCTTAACATGTTTCTTAGATGAAGAATTTGTAAAAAGACATAGCATACTTTTAATGAAGAAAATTAAACATGTTCATGTAGAAGTCATAGATGGTCGTCTGTTGTCTTCAAGAGATGTTATTCATGAAATCCTTCCTATAGAAGTAGCAACTAATGGTCATAGTAGTTTTGTAATATTTAATATCATTATATCTTCCTCTAATCCAATCATCTTAGGTTTATCATGGGTAGAAAAATATAATCCTAAAATAGATTGGACTTCTCGTAGTCTTGACTTTTCTAAAAGTATAACTAAGAATGTAGTTAGTCAAGTAGAAAGTCTAGTACAATTAAACATGTATTTATAGGTGCAAGAATTTTCTTACATGTTGTAAAGAAGGATCACCTTGTGTCATTTATTCCACATCTATTTCTACTAGTGGAAAGACTTCAAGTGGCATTTCAAGCCAATATCAAGATTTTTAAGATGTATTTGAGAAGAAGAATGAGAATACTCTTTTGGAACATCGTTCCTATGATTCTTCAATTGACTTTTAAGTAGGAGCACAACCACTATTTGGACCGATCTACAGTTTATCACAAAATGAGTTGGCTAAACTCAAGGAGTGTATTGAAGAAAATCTAGCCAAGAACTTCATACGCCATTCCCAATCTCCACAGGAGCTCCAATTTTATTTCTGAAGAAAAAAGATGGATCATTGCAGATGTGAGTCGATTATTGAGGACTTTACAAAATCACCATAAAAAACTAGTACTTGCTACCTTTGATATCTAGACTCCTTGATGAATTGAATCAAGCTAAGATGTATACAAAAATAGATCTATGAGGAGCATACAATCTGGTACGCATCAAAGAAAGAGATGAATGGAAGATTGCATTTTGAACAAGGTATGGATATTTTGAATACAATGTCATGCCTTTTGAACATATAAATGTACCAGTAACATCCAACATCTAATAAATTATGTCTTTCCGGAGTTTTTAGATGATTTTGTCGTCTGTTACCTAGATGACATCTTAATCTATTCTAAGAACATGGAAGAACATGAACTTCATGTTTGTCATGTATTACAAAAACTAAGAGATGCGAGACTCTATGCCAAGATAGAAAAGTGTGTATTTCACACTACTTAAGTCGACTTCTTAGGATACATCATTTCAAATGATGGACTTATGATAGATCCTAAAAAAGTTCAAACTATTATGGATTGGAAGATCTCAAAAATGGTAAGAGATGTCCAATGCTTTTTGAAATTTGCCAACTACTATCAGATCTTCATCAAAGACTTCTCTCAAGTTACAGCTCCACTTACACATTTGACTTGTAAAGACAAACTTCAATGGAATCAAGAAGCGGAAGTAGCATTTGAAGCTTTAAAGACAATCTTTATTTTTGCACTAATTTTTATTTTGTGTCAATTTTTCTAACCATTTTTTATGGGAGCAGATGCATCAGTCTTTGCTTTGGATGCTATATTTTCACAAATGGGAACAAATGATAAACTTCACTTAGTAGCTTTTCATTCCAAAATTTTTTCAACAGTCGAGATTAATTACGAGATCCACGACAAAGAACTTCTTGCAATCGTGGATTTATTTCAAGAATGGTATCATTATCTAGAAGGTGCTCGTAGCCCAATCACCATATATATAAATTACAAGAACCTTGAATATTTTATATCAGTATGTATTTTAAATCGTCGTTAAGTCCGTTGGAGTATGTCTTTGTTAAATTAAATAGAAACTTAATTGTTTATGCATGAAATAATCTATTTTAAAAAACATCAATATAATTACACATATTCTTATAAAAAATTTAAAAATTAAGTATCATTACTATTATTTCTATTTTTATAATTTATAGATTTTTACAATTTATAATTAATTTAAGGCAAATAAATTCTCACTTAAATTCATTAGATAAAGTTAATGTATCAAAGTATGATTACAAAGTTGAAGTTAAGCATTACACTTTTAAAGTTTCTGTTTAAGAAACATGCTATTAGCCATTATATTTATAATAGGTCAAATTAAAAATTAAAAATTTATATAATAAAACTTGTAATATTTTTTTATATATTTAGAAGTGACTTCATGATATACATAATATTATAAATAAATTAGATTTTTTTTTTATTAACAGAACAATAAACATCAATAAGCTTTTTGCACTAGGCTTATTTAAAATAAAATCTACAAATTCAATATCTTTAGATGTGTTTGTAATATCTATTTTTGATAAATCAAATATCAAAGACATCAATATAGTTATCTATTAAGTAGGTTTTTTTAGTTGATAAAGATTATTTTTAATAAAAAGAAAAAACATCAATAGACAAGTTTATATAAAAAAGAGTTATAAAATAGTAGTGGTTAGAACTTAATAAGTAAGCATTTATTTTAAGTAATTACAAAAAAAATATATCTTAGCAAATAGATTGATAATTTTATTTTTTCAGTTTTATATTTCTAAATTTGTTAATTATTTCTTACTTAAATTATCAATAGCTTGTTAGATCAACATGGAATACCAAATAAATTGTTACATTTCAATCAGTAGTTAAAACCAAACATCTTATAAAAAAAATAGAAATCCAATAAAAAAACATGCTCCAATTAGAAAAATGTTGCCAACCAAGAAGGATTGGATGATGATAAAACATCTTCTTCTAAAAAATGTTTGATCCCAAGTATTTGTTATAGCATGCAAGGTTATACTAAATAGAAAGTAGTTTGTCTTGAATCTAAGACGGGCAATAGTAGAAGTATATTAAATATCTATATTAGAATTAAGTAATTATCGAATTGGCATTGTATTCCCATTAAATTACCAAACTCAAATTACTAAGTGTTGGCAGCATTGTTTGGAAGTCAAGTCAGATTTGGATTGTTATTGTATTTAACCCAATTTGGCCTGTTATGGTGATTTGAGACTATCTTTGGATTTGCTATCGAATTGGATGAATAACTTGGTATATGGCATTTTTATTGTTGTTAAGAAAACAAATTAATATTAAAAATTGGTAGTTTAATAACGATTAATTGTTGTTAGAGTTTAATATTAATGACCTCTTGTTTGAATTTATTTTTGGCTTAAATAATGTACATAAAGATGTAAAAAAGTAATAGAAGTTAATCATATAATTTAATTGATTATTAATTTCATAATTCCGATTGATTCAAAGTCTAGTGCAGCACAAATATTTAGCAAGAATTATTGTATTGATTTAAGTTAATATCAATTGATGTAAGATTCATTTTTTTGTAATATTTTATCAATCTAAGCTAATTGCCACATCTTTATGCTTGTCTTAACTTTCTTTTTGGGCAATTTGGCTACTTATATTTGAACTCATAGAAATGTTAGCTAAATAAAATTAGAAATAAAAAACCAACGTAATTTATATAAAAATATTTTTTAAAATATATATATATATATAGAATAATATAATATAAAATATACATAATTAATTTATAAATATAAATTAAAATAATATAGAGATAAAAAAAATAAAATTTTTTATTTAAAAATAATATTTACATTAGATTTTATTTTATGTCATTTAAATATTTTTAAATCAAATTTTATAGAAAAAATATGCATCAAAATTTTTATTAAATTTAATTTATCAAAAATAAATAAAAGTAAAAAAATATATTCTATTTTTTTTATTTGAAAAGTTTTTTAATAATTAAAATTAATTCTAAAATTCTAAAAAATAAAACTTTTTATTATTATAACTTTATTTCAAACATTTCATCATGTCACAAATTATTTATAATAATTTTGATGCATAAATGTTTATGTTATTGGAATAATAAAAAAATATATCTACAAGCAATTTTATTTTTAAAATTTTTTCACTTATATTTTTTATCAAGTAAAAATCTAATGAATAGACTATGATTAGTTTTAGAGTGTATATTTCTTTGATTTCTTTTTTCTTTACTTATTTTATTCCTTCTTCTTTCTTCTCTACTTGCTAATTGTGCTTCTCACTTTACTCCATCAATTTCAAACAACTCTTAATTAGGACCATTTTATAATTTTGGTTTAAAAAATAAATTTTATCTTGACATTGGTCATTTGATTCAATATACTTTATCACATGTTTATTGATTTGAAATCCTTACAAATCTATATTTTTAAGAATATATTATTTAATCAAAATAAAAAATTATATCTTGTATAAAAAAATATTGTTGGTGAAATGGATAAAATTATAAAATAATAAAAAATCAGATTATTAATATTTAAATATATTAAATAGATGTGTTCTTCATTGAAATATTTACTTAATTAGATATTTTTTATAAAAAATTTAAAAGTACCCAATTAACTTTTGATATGTTGTTTCAAAATAATACTCAACTAAATAATAATATTATTATTTAATTATCAACTAATAACTTGAAAATTTCATATTTCACCAAAAAAATTACCATAAATACACTGGTTTTCTCCAAATAGTTCAATCTCATATTATTAATCCAAACATTTACTTTCTCCAACTGTAAACCGAATGTTAGTTCAAGTCGTAGATGATTCGTCTTCGTCGTCTCCGTCGTCGTCCAAGCGGTGCTTCGCGAATCTTCTGAATGCTTTGTCATGTTTGTCGTCGTCGTCCAAGGCATCCGTCACGACTTTTCTCGAATCTTTGTCGTCGTCCGACAATCGGCAGGATTTCGTCGGGATCGTCACCCTCGTCGACGTAATGAGTAGGGGACAATGAGCTGATCAAGTCCAGCGGTGGACCCATCACCGCGTCTCGAGCCAATCTTCACATGGCATCGCAACTTCGACGTCGTGCCCTCAGATTCTGATGCTCGCATGAGGGTTGACGTTTTTAGTTCTAGAACCGGATTGTACTCGGCTCACACTGTGTCGCAATTGGGTTTGTGTCGGCTCTTCTGAGAATTCGCTCATCGGGTCCTCGCCACTCCTCCAGGTATTGGGTGATTCGACCTATTGGAAATGGTTGTAGTTTGTGTGTGTGACTTCGCTTTTAGTTGCTGGGTTTTGTGGGGAGTTTCTGGTAGGGTGATGGGTTGGTTTTCATAAATGGTTTTTGATGCCTATTTGTTGGGTTGTGGAGAATTTCGCATTTAGGGTGCAATCGTGCGGTACCGAATGTCTTTGGGTACTTGAATTTCTGGCTAGAAGGGGGAGTTTGATTTCGATTTGTCTTGTTGATGCTTTTGCAGCCATGGGGAAGGTGCCGGTTAGGCTGAAAGAGGTTGCGTACACCATCTCCCCCTACCACCAGCATGTTATGACGGGGTTGTGGAAGGATATCCCTTACAAATTGAGCAAGAAATTTCACGAGAACTGGGTGTCCGCCTTTACTTTGGTGGTCCCTATCGTCGGGACGTACATGTAAGCCTCCCTTCCCTTCTTAAGTTTTCTCTTTGAGTGTATAAGTTAGGGTTTTGATGATAGTGGTTTGGTCTTGTAGGTTTCTTAGTGGTTTAGCGAGTGATGCAATTTTCTAGGTCCTGTAACTTTGGAACAGTGGTTGGTGCAAGTTAGTGGAATCTCGAGTATTCTGATCCGGCGTTGTAAGTGAGATGGTTAGTTGCATCCTTGTAATGATTAGATGTAATCGCTTGTGAAGATTGATAGCTCTACGTTAAGGCGATCTCCTCCGAGTCCTCAGATAGAAGTGCTCGGAATATGTCCAAATTTGTTCAACACATTTGTTTAATTTGCTGACTTCGTCGAATGAGGATGTTGTTCTGAGTATGTGGATGTTATGCCAGGTATGCTGAAAACTACAGGGAGAAGGAGAAGCTTCACCACAGATATTGAAATGAAGAAAGGATGGTTATGTTTACTTAGGGTACTGAAATCCCCTATCATTATTATTGAGGACTGTAGGAATGGGTGAACTTGATATGTAATGATGAAAGCTACTTTGGTTCACCGTCCGAGACACGTCTCTCCCCCTACAGCAAATAATGTTGTCTGTGCTGCTTTTTTGTTACATTTACAAATCAAAGTGGTGTTGACCTTGGTTGTTTTCACTTTTTAATTCCTCGCAGTGTATGTGCTTTTATTTTATATTTTTCTCCCTTCCAAATATTTGTTAATTCAATCTGTGCTTAATCTTGTAATAACCGCTAGATACTAGCTCTTTGCATATGTGAAAGGATGAGCCTGTGTGAGTTTCGGCTGCAGTTGAGCTACATCTTCACCAGTAGCCCTTTATTTCTGCGACTTGTTGTAGAAATAATGTATCATAGGAAGATTTATTCGTACCTCACAGAGGAGAATTCCAATTTGCTTATGTTGGTGATTAAATCAGATTGGTTCTTTGACAGCAGGGAAGTTGGAAACATTTTTTTTCCTAGTGTTTCAATGCTATGTGATGAAAAATCGCATTCAAGTCCCATAACCGCTGCAAAATTCTTATGTTTACATAATGCAGCTGTGGTGTAGGTCTACGAGTATCACACGTTCATCTCTCATGCCGATCTAGCTTAGTTGATAGAGACCTTATCTTAACCTGGCAGGGCATGCTTTGGTATTGGACGGAAGAGTAGTCATCTAACTGGATGGCTGCCGAACAAAAGTAAACAAGTCAACAATCCTTGCATAGGCGGGTAGTCTCCCTTACTTTTTCAAGACACAGGAACTGTTGAAAGGAGTACTGATGCAATTCTAAGAGATTTTGCAGTTTGATGTGGTGGAAACTTAGCTTTCCAAGTTATCTGGTCAGAGTGCGAACCATCCCCGATGCTCCAGACCCTCACTTTCGACCATATTCATGCATATGGATTTATCACGACGTCCAGGACCCAATGAGGTTGGGTAGAGTGGATTCAGTGAGCAGTCTATGTGCATGGAAATGAGATGTTTGCAGCAGAAATCCACAGCGATAACAAACAAACGAATGTGGATGTTCTGAATCTACTTCAGGAATGTGGTTAATTTGTTGGCATTTATGTAAGATGTTGAATGTCAAGTGCTCTCTCAAAGATGTGGGATGAGTGGTTCGGAATTATCTCAAACTTCCAATTACCAAAAGATGAGAGTTGTGTTCAAGTTTGCAATACATCATCAAGTAGGTTTAAGGAGGTTGGTGGTTAAAATTTTAGCTGTGAAATTTTAATCATGCTCGATAGGATGTTGTGTAAAGTTTTATCCATGCTGTAGTTACATGTTACTCTAAAGAATTAAAAATTAAAAATTAATTCTTTGGAAAGTTTTGACTATGCTAAAAAAATTGAAATTATATGATTTTTACCGAGATGATGTAATTGAAAAATTCGGGCAATTTCCATTAATAAAAAAAATGTCTTTTGCTAGATTCTTTTTGATATTGAAAAATTTGGCTCGATGATTTTTCGTAAAAATCTTTGGAATGTATGGATTAGGAATAAAGTTGCTGCATGTTACTAACCAAAACAAATCTAAACAGAAATGAAACTGGTTTTCTAACTGGTTTTTCTTTTTTTAAGATATGATTAGAATTTACCTTATTTATTGAGAATCCTCATAGAATATCAAAAAAATCATATATGCACTTCTGCAAATTGACTTGAAAAATCTCATTTCATTTCCAAATAAAATCTCATTTAATCTCATATAAGATTTTTATTTGAATAGTATCTTTGCATATCTAAATTTGAATTTAGTATAATTTTTTTAATGTTCAAGAGTTTATTTATATTTGGGTCGAAATATGGTAGTCATTATTCTGTGCTAGCATTCTTAAAGCACAACAAGAGATTTATAGGTGGGATTTTAATCCAAAAAAAACCAAATACACTATTTATTAGATTCATAGGAATAAAATATTATAATCATGATATGAGATTATAAGTTTTTAAAGATTACTTGTGTTTCTATTAATATTAAATTAGATTATATTGAATTAAAGTGTGATTAAAACATTTTAATATAACACAATATTTTTGTATTTATAATACTCAATACGCATGCTATTATCTATATATACACACATTATGAACTTAAAGTTCAAAATTATGATTTACTCAAAATCATATAAAGCAAACATTCTAATTTCAAATAAATTTAGACATTATTAATATTAAATATAACATCGTTATACAAATTATTTTAATATTGATTAATAGGAATACAATATATTTTTTTCAGTCTACAGAATTTTAAAATATCAACTTGATGTATTATAAACTCTTAGAGTTAAAACTAAATAAACTCTATTTGATTTTAGTAATCTACCATTGAAATTTTTCGTGTCTATTTTTATACATTTGGTGTTTTCTTTTTTCCTCTTTTTACTTACAACATGATTCGGAATTAAATTAAAATACTTTGAGAATTTAAAATTAAACACATATTATAAAAACTTTGAAATTTCATAGAGTATTTTTAAAACTATTATAGTAGATTATATATAATTTAATATATATAAATATTGAAGTTCCAAAAATATGTGATTCTAACAACGTTACAATTAAATATGACCAATTATGTAAAAACAAATAGAAGAAAGATAAAAATTTATTTTTTACATGATATTATTAAAGTGTAAATATGAAATAAATATATGTAATAAAATATATCTATATATGTATATGTATATATACATAAACTAATGATCAATAAATCAATAAATTTTGTCTAATGTGATTTTGTTTTGCATTTATATGAATAAGTACAATAATTTAAAAGGCTTTCATTAAATTAAAATAAAAAAATTTAGTTAACTATGACTATAATTACAGTATAAATAACATAAATATATTTATTTAAAAATGATATTTTAATATAATAATAAATATTTTATTTTTCTTTATATATATTTTGATAAATAATAAATAGAGTAATCTTGTTTTGACTTACTAACAAAATTGTTCTACATATTGTTTAATTTTGGAATTTATCACATGAGGTTGTAATATTTTATTTTAATTTCAATAGTAAAATTTTATATAAAAAATAAACTGAAAAAAATAATATATACATACACATGTGTGCATATATATATATATATATATATATATACATGAAACTACATAAAAAAATGTATTTTTTAAAATTAAATACATATTAAATTCTTTAACTAAATTTAAAAAATTAAATGGAATCTCACTTCTGTAAGAATTGAGGTTTTATTATCTGATTAAAGCACATAAAGTATAAAATACATATAATATAATTTTCAATTAATCTGAATTTTCATATTAAAGGCAATAGCTTATTAAAAGAATTTATTAACTATAATTTCTTTGATATTGTTAAAAATAGAAACCTTTTTTTATCTAATTCAATTAAAAATTTAAACAAAAATAAAAATGTAATATAATCTTCAAATCAATTATAATTAAAAAAAATCATTTTTATTATATCTTACAATCATTATATAGATATAATAATCTCTACCTCTTAAAGTTTATTTATTTTTTATAATCTATTGATACATTGTAATTTAATTTTTATGAATTATAGAAAAGAATTATTATTTAAAAAAATTCTAATAGAATAAAAAAAATATAAATAGAATATATATTATTTTATACTATATATGTATAATATTACTAATTCCATCATAGTTTTTGCTATAACAACCATAACCAACCATCCACCACATATCACCTATATCCTATTATAGCCACAATCAAACTCAAGGCAATTGCATGAGGTATTAAAACTTTTTATCAGTCAATACAACATGCAATTAAGCTATTATATATTAAGAATTATAAAAATTAAGCTATTTATTATATATTCCTAAAAAAATATAGATAAATTATAAATAGATTTGTATAATTTTTATAATTTTTATAATTTATCTATATTTTTTAAAGAATTTTTAGAGTTATTTTTAAAACTTTGATAAAAATAACTTTTACCACCTTAAGAGCAATTATGATGAAATAAAGCAAGATTTGAAGGTCATACCAAGTTCTTAAGCTAATTGAATATTTATGAATACTTTGGTGAAGTAAAAAAATATAAAAATATGAATTCTACTAAAAGAAAATATGAAGACTAGAAGCTGAATTAGTCCTTAAAAGAAGAGAAGTGCAGAAGTTCTATATAGATTGTAGTACCTTTGATGTTGATAGGAAGATAAGCCTAAGGCCTCAAGGCCTCTATATGTCACGGACCAAAAATACAAACAAGAAATCTAAACAAGAAGTTCAAGAAGAAATGACAAGAACTAGATTATCAGATGAGTACAAGAACAACGCCAAGAGAATTGAGCTAGAGCTTCAAGAGATGTGTTGTCGAGACTGAAGAACTCTTCAGCCTCGACTCCTATATATACTACTGGCCTAGGGTTCTAAGGAAGCGCATCAAGAAGCTTTCCAAGAACTATGAAGCATCTCAAGCAACTACCCAAGAGCTAGGAAGCTTCTCAAGTAACTTCCTAGAATCTACTAGAATATTTTAAGAATCTTCTAGAGCCTTCTAAGGGAATCTTTAGGGAATCTTTAAAGAATGTTCTAAGAGAATATTGAAGGAATCTTTTGGAAGTTTCTAGAGACTTCTTTCTAGAAGGTTCTAGAAACTTGTCTCTAGAAAGGTCTAAGGACTATGTTTCTAACATCACCTCCTCCTTTAGCTTTGAGGTCTCCGAGAAGCAATGTTATCGTCAGTCAATACCAACGCAAGAAAATGAAGATCTGTCGCATAACCTCTGCTATGAACTCCAATTGTTGTTCACGAGGTAAGTGATTCAATGGTCCTTGAAGCCAACGGTAGTGGCCCACGCCTTCAACTTCTGACCAAGCATGAACCTCCGTGTCTTCATTGTGAAATTGTCCTGTAAACACTCCTTCTGGCTGACCATTGCAGGCAGGCTCGACCTCAAATACAATCACCAGCGATCTGTTGCTCTGAATCCTTTGACGTCGTCATGGTGCAAGCGGTTCTTCATCTCGCGGTCGTCTTCGTGAGCTAGTTGCTTGAGATGACATGACAAGTGTAGTATCTTGGCTATCCATATTCAAAGGCTAAAACAATAAGAACAAACTTGGGCTACTAACAAAGTTCTACGCTATCTTGGAGAGAATGACTACATCAACTATGGATTTT